GTTTTAATATGTTTTTAAGTGAGAAAATCCGCCTGAAAACTTCATCAGTGCAGTCAGTTCATCCAGAATACAATCCTGCCTTTTAATGTTATTTCTGTCGGAGCCGCTCAGACCCCCACATACCAGCGGTGCGCTGTCAGTAGGAATCCCTTCAACAGCAGCCTCTGGCCGGGTCGCCTCCTCGCGGTTTACCGCGGCAGCTGGTAGGTGTTTTTCATCTAAATAATCTAAACTGCAGGCAGCAGGATAATAAAAGCAAACATATTCTGCCGGCAGATTTCTTCATTTTAAGTTAATTTATGCGTCAATAAACTTTCAGAGGAGTGATCACAGCGCTCTGTGTCATCAGCGATGTGTCTGTCTCCCTGCCAGCTCCCAGATCAGCTTCTCTGATTGGCTGACGCGGCGCGTCGGGCAGCAAAAGTTCAATTTTTCCATCTCGAGCAGTGGCGCGTTTGCAGCGCGCCACGCGCGTCAGATGCTTAAACGCTCCCGGCGCGCTGCTTCAGCTGCTCAAAACGCGCCGTGGGACCTTTTGCTGCGCCTTGTTGCGCGTCAACCATTGACTTTGCACGTAAACTCGCTGCTTCTGCCGCGCCTGCTGCGTCCGGTGTGAACGTCGCATAAAGCACATTCAAATGAAAATTAATCTTAATTAAAAACACATAATTTATTGAACAGTATGCAACAATTTTATATTTAAATTACTTTCAGAAATTTGAATTCTGAATATGAGCGGACTTTTCCTTTAAAAAACTTTGAAGGATATACAGAGACATCGTCAGTAGAAGACAACGAGACACCTCCACATGCTGTTTGCTTACTTAATTATGCTGCAAAATTATTATTATTATAGCTGAAAAGAGTTGAAATTCTTTAAGTATTTGTTGAGTTTACTTTTGGAGCCCAATTTTACTAGTTACTGTTTACTTTGAGCTGATCAAACAGAGTAAACCCAGGCTGGTCCAGAATGTGAAGATCTCACCTCAAACATTTTTTTTTTTAACCTTAGATTTGTTTAGAATTCAGCTGATGGATGAAACAAATCATTTTTGGGTTTTTTCTACATGCCAAAATGCAGAGTGGATGCATCACTAGACTGAGTCAGAATCCCGCTGATCAGCTAATGAATGCGGCGCTTCCTAAGAACGTCTTCAACAGAGAATCTGTGATAAAATAGAGGAATATGAAATTACTGCCTGGCGAACTTCCACATGAAGCCTCATGAATTCATGAAGAAGCCAAAAAGGGAGAGTGGATTCAGTGGGAATAATAAGGGTTTTATATCCTTCATTTTCCAGTATCATTGCTGCAGTGGTTTTATGGTATTTTAGCAAATTTCACTGCTAAATATCTACCTGTGCAGTGATAGGATATGTTGTTTTTCTTTCTAGAAAATACGCAAAATAACAGTTTTCACTCATTTATGCAGATCTACAGGGTGGATAATGAATCAGCCTGACTGAGACGGTACTTCTGATCCCCTCACTGCATAAGTGAGAGTAGAATATAAAGTGTCTCAATGCTTAAAGATAAGCTGAAAGAAAGGAAGCACAAAGTGAACTCACTGGTTTAAATCGGTATATACTGCTGATCAAACATCAGCTTACACTTATAATTGTATTTAATGTCACATTAAGACATGAATTAATTCACGGTGGATCCTTAAAGTAGTAAATGGATAAATTTATTTAGAAATATCTCCCCAATGCAAACAAGGTCAGCATCTTTCAGATTAAAATATGCATATAGAGCTTATTTTGGTATGAAATTAATCTGTTTTTTATTTTTTCTAACAGCATAGGGGCTGTTTCTGTAGATTTTTCAACTTATTTTAACTATGTGAAGCTAAAAGTTTGCTACTTGAGGATTTCTTGAACAAAGGTTTTCCATCTTAAATGCAAAATTGATTGTTTTTTTTTTCTACAATTTGGTCTCTATTACTGCAGTCAGTGGGTTGTTAGGGTCCATATCAAAATTTGACATGAATCATATCTTCATTTCTAGGGTAAGAGGATTCCAGAAATATTATTTACAACCTCTGACACTATATTGTGTGTTTCTAGGCTTTCCCTGAAGAAAGAGAATCATTATGAAAAGATGTTGTCGATTTTTTGGCTTCGAAAATGTGGCCCCAGGTCACACTGTCAGAGCGATTAAAAAAGGGCTCTTTCATTGGTCTAGGGACAAAAGAGAGCTTTAAGCATGATTCCAATGAAACTCAGCATTGCATTGTTGGGATGTCACTAGAGCAAAAAAAAAAAAACCTTCGCCAAGAAACCAAATAACCAGAAAACAGCAGAAAATGACACAGCAGCTTCAGTTTTTAAAGGTAAACACTGGATTTATACAAAAAAAAAAGAAAAAAAACAACAACTGAGAAACATCATTAGGAGTGTGTGTGTAGTTTAGCCTTTCATTGCACTAATGCATGAATTTAACATGATGTTTTCACATGTTTGTTTGCTCCAAGCTTAAACGAGAACATTGCGAAATCTCCCAGTGTGTAAAAACATTAAAACAACATTTCAAACCCCAGCGCCAAGATTTAAAGACAAACAGGAAGGATCACTGATAAAAAAAAGGACAAAAACATATCAGTCCACCTTAATTTTACAAGTGGGCAGAGGACATTTAGTCCTGTGATTACAAACAGCTCAACATAGGAAAGCAAACCTCCCTCCACCCAGGTCTGTCTGCTATTTGCACCATATTCCTATGTAATCATTAACTCTGCGATAGACTTCCACTGCAAAGAGGAGTAAAGGTCCAGTATTTACAACCTTTCGGCGTGTCCTACTAACACAGAGCAGCAACACCACAATGTTTGATGCATCCAAAATCACTTAAGTGGAAATAAATGCATTTGGATTTAATCATCGTGGTATCCTGCTTGCACGGCAACAGTGAAGAGGCTTCATTTTACTCGGTGTGAGCTTGGAGTGTTTGGCCAAAGGTGCGATGGGTGTGTGGTTTTGAAGAATGTTGTTGAACTTACTTTATAAAGCATCTTGCTCCTTCAAAGGTAAACCCCTCTTCCCATCCATTGGGTAGGTCTGAAAAAGGAGGAAGGAATAAAATATGTCAACACACTGGTGGAGAAAATTTAATATTTTTGTGCCACTGAATAAGGAACTTCTTATTAAGATATAAAGAGTTAATAGAGAATAACAAAAATCATAAATTGGCCAATATATAAAAAACTGAACCCTAGCAAACAAGTTCTCGGATTTACTTAAGATTTAGACAACTTCTATTGTCATTTTGTTTTTGTATACCAGAGTGTGTACTAGGGTTGTCACGATACTAAACTTTTCAACTCGATACTGATACTAAGGAAAATATTCGTTACTCGATACCATTTTCGATAC